CTGATTTCTTCCAGTGACTACATGTCACCTTTGTCAAACAAAGTGGCTGTGTCTGGAGTTGTTCCTCCATCTTCTAATCTGTTCCCTTCATCCTTGGATCTTTTTGCTTTTTCCCCAACACCGTGTTCTTTTTTTAATCATTCATTCATTTTATTTGGTACAGGGTCTCACTATGCAGGTCAGACTCACAGTGATCTTCCTGTCTCAGCCTCCCCAGCGCTGAGATTACAGGTGTGTGCCACAACACCTGGTTTCAGTGGCTGGCTCAGTGCCCAGGGCCGGCACGGCATGCAGTATTGGGGATCAAACCTGGACTGCTGAGCTGTCTCCTCAGCCCTCCGTGCCGTTTTAATCATGGTAGCTTTGGGTATAATTTCAAGTCTGGGATTTAGATGCTCCCGCCTTGCCTTTGTTGCCTAAAGTGCCTCTGCAATACTCGGTGTCTTCTGGTTCCAAATGAATATGGGTTGCTTTCTCTTAACTCTGTGAACTGTGCTGTTGCAACTGTGATCGGAATCACAGTAAATCTGTATAACAGTTTTGGAGGTGTGACCATTTTCACTGTATTGGTTCTTCCTACCCAAGAGTAAGGGATATCGTTCCATTTTCTTTTGCTGCTGTTTTTGTTGTTATTTTAGAATCAAGAACAGTTTATTTGTCCAATATCTTCTCATTGCTCAGAATATCTGTTTTTTGATATCCTCTTCAATCTCCTTTCTGCAACTACTCTTTTCAATGTAGAGGTCTTTTATGTGCTTCATTAGATTGATTCCTAGGATTTCATTTTGTTTAGATGCTATTGTGAAAAGTGTTGTTTCCCCAGTTTTTCTCTGAGTTTGTTATTCCTCTATAGGAAGGCTTTTTTGTTTTGTGGTTTTTTTATGTATTTGGTTGTTATAGGGTCTCACTACGCAGCTTGGACTCATGGTGATCCTCCCGTTTTTCAGCCTCCCCAGAGCTGGGATTACAGGCATGTGCCATTATGCCCAGACTCTGTAGCCATCTCAGCCTGCCCTGGGGGCAGGGCTGGTGTAGCATGTTGTGCCAGGGATCAAACAGCAGTCCCTGTGCTTACCTAACCTTGCCTAAGCAGGGGCTTTAATCCGCTGAGCTATCTGACCAGCCCCTATTGATTTCTGAGTGTTAATTTTGTATCCAGCAATGCTACTGAATTTGGTTATTAAATAAATCTAAGGCCGGCCAGATTGCTCAGCAGAATAAACTGCCTGCTTAGGCAGAACACAGCGGCTGGGGCTCAATCCCTGGCATGGCGGGCTGGCCCCGCCCCTGGGGCCCACTGAGATGGCGACTGAGGATGGGTGTGGTGGCATGTGCCTGTAATCCCAGCACTTGGAAGGCTGAAAACAGGACAATCACTACAAGTCTGATTCATGTAGTGAGACCTTGAGACTCTATCCTTAATACATAAATAAAATAATAATTTAAAAAATATCTAGAAGTCTTTTGGTGGAGTTTTTTAGGTCTTTTATGCAGAGTATTATGTTATCTACAAATAATGATAATTTAACTAACTTCTTTCCTGTCCTCATTACTTTTATTTTCTCCTCTTGTCTAATTGCTCTACTAAAGTTTCCAGGACTATGTAAGAGTGGTGACAGTGGACATCCTTGTCTTGTTCTTAATTTTAGAGTGAAAACTTTCAGTTTTTGACTATTTTGTATGATGCTGGCTGTTGGTTTGTCGTAGATGACTTTATCAGATTGAGACAAAGACCATGTATTCTAATTTTCTGTAGTTTTTATCATGAATGGGTTTGGACTTTGTCCAAATCCTTTTCTGTGGGGGCCGGGGAGATAGCTTAGTGGAGGTCTTGAGTTTGATCCCTTGTACCACCAAAAAAGTGGGGGGGAAGCTTTTTCTGCATCTATTGAGATGATCATGTGATTTTTGTTCTTTACTCTGTTAATATGGTGTACGACATTTATTTTATTATTATTTTTTTTTACATTTATTGACTTGTGTATATTGAACCATCCTTGCATTCCTGAGATGAATCCTACTTGGGTATAATCTCCTTGCTGATTTGCTGCATTCGGTTTGCCAGTATTTCATTGAGGATTTTTGCATCTGTGTTCATTAGGGAGATTGGCCTGTAGTTCTCTTTCTTAGCTGGATCCTTTTCTGATTTTGCTATCAGGAGGACTGAATTAGAAGGATTGACTAAAGAATTTGAGAAGTATTAGATGTTCTCTAAGTTCTTGTAGAATTCAGCAGTGAATCCTCCAGGCTTTTCTTTGATGGTAGGTTTTAAACTACATCTTCAATTTCATTCATTAATATTGGCTTATTTAGAATTTTTATATCTTCTTGATTCAGCTTTGGTAATTCATATATACATAGGAATCTGTCCATTTTTTTCTGCATTTTCCATCTTACTAGAATATAAGTTTCTGAAGTAGATATAGATGATCTTCAGAATTTCTACAGGGGGCCAGGGAGATGGCTCAGTAGAATAAACACTTCCCTGGCAAACGCAAGGGTCTGAGTTCAATCCCCGGTTCCACCAAAAAAAAAAAAAGAATTTCTACAGGATCTGTTGTGATTTCACTCTTTTCATTCCTAATTGTGTGGATTTGAGTCTTTTTTTTTTTTCTGATAAGGTTGGCTAAAGGCTGGTCAATTTTATTTAATCTTTTTTCTTTTTTTTTTGGTACCAGCGACTTAACTCGGGACCTTGCACTTGCCAGGCAGGTGTTTGTGCTGCTGAGCTATATCCCCAACTCCTTTACTTAATCTTTCAGAGAACCAACTCTCTGATTCCTTGATCCTCATAGTGTTTTTTAGTCTCCAGGACATCGATGTCTGCTGCTTCGCGCTTCCGCCCTTGTAAACGCTTTGGACGCGGCTTGCTGCTGCTGCTCTAGGAGCTTGAGCTTTGGCGTCAGGCTACTCGCGCTTGCTCTCCTGCTGTGCGCATTTGCGGGGACAGTTTCCCTCAGAGGGCTGCTTTCATTGCGTCCCAGACCTACCAGTGTGTCGTACTGTCACTATTGTTTTAACTGTAGAAACTGTCTAATTTCTTCTCTGATTTAATTTGTGACCCCTTGGTTTAGGTGGTGTTACTTAATTTCCAACTGCTGTGAAGTTCTTGTGGTTTCCTTTGCCACTGACTTCTAATTTCATCGCACTGTGGTCTGATAATACGCAGGGGATAATTTCAGTTCTTCTGCATTTACATAAGCATGCTCTATGATGTAGTAGGAGAAAAATGTGTATTCTGATACTGTGGGTTGAGCACTCTGTAGACATCTAGTAAACCCATTTGTTCAAAAGTTTGACTCAATTCTAATATTTCCTTGATTTTTTTTTTTTTGTCTGCTTGATCTATTTGTGATGGTGGGGTATTGAGATACCCCACTACAATAATATTAGTGCTTATTTTTCATATCTGTTAATATTTCTTTTGTACACTTGGGTGCCTTGGCATTTGGTGCGTGTGTGACTGCTCTGTCTTCCTCCTGGATTGTTTGTTCCTGTAACAAGGATGTAGCGACCTTCCTTGTGTGTCTTGAACAGTCTTGCCTTAAAATCCAACGTTGGCAAATGGAATAGCTGCTGCTGGTGTTTTGTGTTCCTGTTAGTGTTTTAATTTCCATCCTTTGATTTTCAGCCTATGAATCTCGGTTGGTCTGTCTGTCTGTCTGTCTCTCTGTCTCTCTCTCTTGCTCTTGCTTTTGCTTTTGTTCTTGCTCTCACTCTCGCTTTCACTCTCTTTCTTGTGACAGGGTCTTGTTATGTAGTTCAGACTGGTCTTGAACTTGTAGGGATCCTCTGCCTCAGCCTCCTAAAGGTTGGGATTATAGATGTGCGCCACCACACATGGCTAAATTTTTTTTAATTAAATGTGTTTCTTGTATGCAGCATATTGTTGGATTTTGCTTTTTTTTTGCATATATATTTTAGAGAAGGGTCTACAGGGTGTTCAGAGTCTCACTATCACTACTAGATTGGACTTGTAGTGATTCTCCTGTTTACAGCCTCCCAAGAGCTGGGATTACAGCCACACGCCACCATGCCCAGTCTCATTTGCCATCTCAGCACGCCCCGGGGGGGTGGGGGGCAAGGGCAGGCCCAGGGATTGAACCCCTGGCCCTTGCACCTCCTTGCAGGCACTTTAATCCGCTGAGCTATTTGGCCGGCCCAGATTTTGCTTCTTGAACCATTCTGCCAATCTGTTTCTTTTGATTGATGAGTTAAGACCACTGACATTGATGCTTACAGCTGACATTTTCCTGCTCTTGGCTCCACCCTCCTGCCCCGTACAGTTGTGTACCTTGCCTAGGGGATTCATCCTGCTGCAGTTCGTCGTGGAGTTGTAATCCTTGTCATCTCTTTCTAGAATGTCCTTCAGAACAGCTTGGAGTGCTGGTTTGGTGTTCATGAATGTCCTCAGGTGTTCTTTGTTATAGAAGTAGCCATTTCCCTATTTTTTTGGGCGGAACCGGGGATTGAACTCAGATCCCTGCGTTTGCCAGTCAAGCGCTTAGCCTACTGAGCCATCTCCCCGGCCCTCCATTTCCCTATTTTGAAAAATAATTTTATAGGGTAATCAACGTGGGTTGGAGATTGGAGGTTTGAAAAACTCCAAGCTCTCTTTAACTTGAGAGTTTGTGTTGAGAAGTTAGCAATGATTTTGATGGGATTTCCTTCATAGGTGATTTGTTTTTCCTCTAACAGCTTTTATTTTTATTTATTTTGTATTTTAGTACAGGGTCTACAGGGTCTCACTAGGTAGATGGGACTCGGAGTGATCCGCCTGTGTTCAGCCTCCCAAGAGCTGGGATTACAGGTGTGCACCACCCCGCCATCTTAATGGCCACCCCAGTGCCTGCCGGGGGCAGGCCGTGGCTGGGGATTGAATCCTGGCCGCTGCGTCTGCCTAAACAGGTGCTTGGGCCGGCCCTTCTAACAGCTTTTAATATTCTGCAGTTGTGTTCAATTGTCTAGTCCCCTCAAAGCCTCATGGTGTTATGGAGCGCAGCTTCACTGGGGTGGCTTCTAGAGTGTGGGATTAATTCTTTTTGTTTTTTTTTTTTTTTT